AATAGTAATGCAGGATGTTTAATGTCCACCCCAACAGGCAGATGGGCTTCTGTTAAATGTCTCATAGGAAACCACAGTGAGAATGGATGGATGACGAGGATTTTTCAATGGGGAGGGGGGTGGCGCGGGGAAGGAAATCCACATTACTCTACTTCAGAGGAGCTTTAAGTTTCACGTGTTACAATACATCCTGACTGTCACGAGAGTTGTGTCACCCAGAAAGAACAGTGGCACACATCAGAGGAGACGCAATGTTCAAACCAGTCCAGGAAACAACACAGGGAGATATCGCAATAACCTCTGCACAGTCACCATGTCTGGGGCCAAAGCCCGGAATACGTACTCTCTCCCTGGAGGGCTGCATCCTGCTTACCTAATCCCGGGTGTTGGGTGGGACACTGCTGTGCGTACTTGGCTGCCACATTTCGCCCACAAAATATACAAAATAGGCAATTCAATTCACAGTGTTTTTTTTGTGAAGCGCTTTGAGACGTCTTGACACTTAGGGTATTGGTGTACCAGCCAAAACGAGCAGGTACTCATGTCTGCACACTGACACATCAAAATCGTAAACAAAGCAGTTAAACTAGTTTAAGGGTTGGGGGGGGGGGGGAGATAAAGATAGAAGAGTCATCCATCCAGTTTCCGATAGTGGATACTACATTCCACAGTGAAGGATCATGTTCAGTGTGCATTGTCCCTGCGCTCTGTCAAGTCACAAAGGAACTGGGTGACTGGATGGGAAAAGGAAAAGAAAACTTCCGCGCACCCGCTTGAGTCAGACTATACAGACGCAGTCCTGTCCTGTCAGATAGAAGATAAGAGAGAGTGACTCAGGAAAGCAGTAGTAAAGAGGTACGTGCACAATCTGCTCTGATAGATACTGTACACAGGGGAGTGGGGTGCACAGTCAAAGAGGAAGTGCTTCAGTCATGATCCAAAAGAGGGGAAGGAGGAGATAGGGCATCTACTGGATTGAGGGAGAGTTCCAAAGGTTCAACGTATCGGCTGACAGTGGAGAATTTCTGACATTTAATAAATTGTGGCGTACAACATAGGAATTCATTACGCCAAAGGCGTGTGGCGTAAGGAAACTTGCTGAAAGTTTCACCTCAACAACAACATTTATAGAACACCTTTCATGTCGGGAGGACATCCCAAGGCTCTGGACATCGGGGGTCAGGACCCGAGTATGGGTGAGGGGTGGTGTAGGGGTGAGGGAAGGCAGAGAGGTGGGAGGGCGACTGAAGGCACGATCGAAGAGGAGGATCTTGAGGCCTGCCTTAAAGGAGGCGAGGAAGCGAGGCAAAGGGACCGTGGGATGGAGTTCCAGAGTGTGGGGGCAGAGAGGCTGAAGGTCCGGGCACCGATGGTAGGGCGGGTCGGGTGGGAGACATGGAGCAGCCGGAGCCCGATGAACGGAGGAACCGGGCGGGTTGGTAGGGAGTCAGTAGGTCAGAGAGGGAGGAGGGACAAGGCCAAGGATGGCCTTAAAGGTGAGGACGAGGATCTTGACTCGATCCTCTGAGGGATGGGGAGCCAGTGAAGTCGGGTGAGGGTGGGAGTGGTGGGATCACGGAGCCTGGTGAGTGAGAGTACACGAGCTGCAGAGTTTTGGATGATCTGCAGCTTGTGAAGGGAAGAGTTGGGAAGGCCGATGAGGAGAGAATTTCCACAATCGAGCCTTGATGTGACGAGTGCGTGGGTATAACTGGCCTCCTGCTTGTCCCTTGTCTCCTCTGCTCCAACATTGATGCCGCGTTTCACCCACAAAATACAGTCACTACACTTTACAGTGTGTTCTGTGAAGCGCTTTGGGACGTCCTCCCGACGTGAAAAGCGCTATATCAAATGCAAGGATTATTATTATTATTATTATTTACAGTATAGCCTGTGAAGTACTTTGAGATGTCTCAAAGACGTGATAAGACGCTGTGTCAAATGCAAGGATTATTATATTCATACATAATAACTGTCAGCTACTTTGACCAAAAACAACACTGCAAATGATGTGCAAACAACAAAATAAAGTCAGCCACAGGCAGTAAGTGCTGTGCGACAATAAAGTCAGTCACATCCTGTCTTTATGTAAGTTTGTGCAGTAAAGTAGGTCACGTAGAACAAGTTGCGTTCAAACAGGTACAGCACCAGGATTTGGGCTCGAACCGCACAGGTCTGTCTCCAGGTTGACAGAACCACTTCAACAACAGCAACTTGTACTTACATGGCACCCTTTACGCAAGATAGTGTCCCAGAGCGCTTGACAATGGCAGAGCCTGACCCCCGAGCCAGGGAACGAGGAAGGTGACCATAAGCACAAACAAAAAGAAAGTCTTTAGTTGGGATTCGAAAGTGAGAGGGGAGGGGACAAGCCAAAGGGATTGAGGGAGAGAGTGACAGAGTTTCGGGTCATCGTGACTGAAAGCAAAGCACTTCCACAACACTCCTTGCCGCAACATGCCATCTGTCACCCAAACGTAGGAACATAGGAATTGCTAAAAACGAAAAAAGACCAAGATCCATCTAGTTCGGCTTCCGCCATCCTGGTAGCCACATGCTACAATAATGGAGATGTTGACAGCAATTAAATCTGTGTGGATTAGTCTTCCAACGCGGTGGAAAGTTTTGGGAACCTTATATCCAAAGTTGCCTGGTTCTTCCAAGCATTCTAAACTTTCTACGCACACACACACACACATGACCTGGGTCAGGTCTCAAATCACATCGGTGAGACGTCTCAAAGCGCGTCACGGAACAAACTGTAAAGTGGAGTGTCTGTGTACTTTTGTGCACAGCAGTGTCCCACAAACAGTTGTGGATTGAATGACCAGATTTCTTTTTGAAGGGATTATTACCGCCCGGAAAGCGATCCGCTAATCGACTAACAACTGAGCTCCTAGGTAAACAGATGCGTGTGGGGTAAGTAAGTAAACTTGCTCAATGTTTCGCTCTGCCCGGGAAACAAACTCAGGTCCTCTCTCTTGAGAAGCGAGTGCTCTAAACACTAAGATATTTGTTATTAGGAGGGAGATGCAAAGAAAGACAAAAGACAGTGACCAAAAGATCCACCACTGGAATGCCCCAGACCATCCCAAAGATGATTGACTGGCATGGAACATTTGTTATTGGCTGGTAAAGTTCTGTGGCTCAATGGAGGAAATTACACTAGCCATAGGATTCATTAAGTTTGGCTCAACAGTGACACTCTTGCCTCTGGTTCAGACAGGCAACTGATTTTAATGCTTGCATTGCATTTCATACAACACATTATCATGTCATTGAAATGCCTCAAAGCGCTTCACAGAAATTACTGAAAAAGTTGAGTGACTATTTTGTGGACAAAACGTGCCAGCCAATTTACCTACAGCAGTGACCCATAAACAGTCATGGAGTGAGTGACCAATTTTATTTGGGGGAATTGATGGCCAGAACACTGGGAGCAAGAGAGAGAGAGAGAGAGAGAAAAAGAGAAACTCCCTTCTCTTTTCGAACACTGCCTTTAAAGTTCACCTGAACAGGCAGACGAGACCTTGGGTTAACATCTCATCCGAAGGACGGCACCTCCAACAATGCAACACCTCTCCAGCACTGGATTGGAGTGTCAGCTTGAACTATTTTAGCCAGTTGAACTCCAGAAATAGCTGTTTTGACCAGTCATGGAAGCCCAAACTCCCCCACCCCCATCAGCCCTGACCAACACTTTATCTGTGTCTGTCCTGCGCTCTATGCCAACTCATCAGATCAGAAGATTTTTGATTCCAATGGGAAATGGGAAATCTGATTAGCTGACAGATTCTTTGGCCTATAGGTCTCACAGGCCCACAGAAGGGCTGTGCCACCATCATTAAATTGCCACTAAGCAACTTAAACAATTTAATTGTGAGCTGCCTATGACATAAGCCAACACTGGGACAATTGACTGAGATCCTCAGTTACATTACATTATAAGGTTCCCACGTAATGAGTATTCCAAAGCTGGGGGAGGGGGAAGATAATCGGAGGCCCTGTCAAAGAGGAAGGTCTTGAGAATTGCATGAATCCCACCTACATGCTGAAATACAGCAGAATGTTACAGTAGAATGTGCCCTATCTTTTCCCTTGAGGGATGCCCCCTCCTTACCTAATTCTTAGGCGCAGGATGGAAAGAGCAAAGGCTTGGGGGGAGCCCAGAGTGTGCGTTGGGGTAACTGCTGGAGTCTAACCAGCTAAAATCACGCACAGTTTGCCACTGATATTGCTGTCTGGCAAGCTTTCACGCTATTTGTCCTAACCAGTTAGTTAGGGCTTTGGCTTGCAGTGAGAATAATATAGCACTTCGGAAAGATGTCCCAAGGTACTACGTATTGCAGCCAAAATACGCACGTCGGGACAAGAAGCGGGGAAATATGTGGATGAGCAGGATATGGTGAGCTTGTTGACATGGCGGGAGATCTAAGAAGAGCAGCGTGTAAGGGTTTGAATATCTGGTGTGCTGGGCTCAGTCCGGGCTTGTCCAGACTGACAGATTGGTCACTAATTATTGACTTAAGTTACAAAAGATAACTCAACAGTGAATTTCTGCTAACTCAACCGTGCCTCAACATGTCATTCCCACTTAAGTCATCGTGGTGCCAATATTAAGGGCAGCATTTATTTGCACACACGCCTAATTCGCTGCTACTGATAACTCAACACTGAACACTTTCCCCTTGGAGCGAGACATACATCATCGAGATTCCTGAGCAGCTCACTTGTTGTCAGTGGGGGAGATGCAATCCACAATATACAGTTGGCATCCAGTTTAGCTGGTTAAGCGCCCGCACGCTCTCACTTTCCTTCCTCCCCCTCACCCCGGAGGGATACACCCCGACTAAATTTACTTCCAGTGGGTAGTAGGCACAGGACCCCAGAGTGTATGCTAGAGTTGAACCAGCTCTTACATTTAAAAAAATAATGAGACAATGGTGCCCAAGCGACAGTTAAGAGAGAATCTTAACACCCGGAGCCAGTGGCAAACTCACCCCCGAGGCATCCTCCAGGCTCAGGTGCTGCGGCTGGTGGGACTCGGCGTCGCTGCAGGGGCTGAAATCGTCCTCAGACTCGTCGAAGGATGAGGAGAGACCGGCCGAGGAGGAGACGGACGAGGAGTTGGAGAGCTTGCGGAGCAGCAGCGAGGATGCTGGGGAGCCGCCGAAGCCGCTGTCGGACGATGGTGATTCCTCCTCCTGCGGCTGCTCGCTGGGCAGGCCTCGCGGTCCGAGAAGCGACTCATCCTGAGTCACTATCAGCTGAGGGATGGGGGGCATGTGGTGCCTCAGTGTGATCACCGCCGTGCACCGCTTCGGCCGCTGGTCCTCCAAGCGGTGGTCCCCCAAACTCCGGGCCTCCAAGTGAGGGTCCGCCGAGCCCCGCTCCCCAAAGCCCCGATCTTCCAACGGGTCATTCTTTGATCCCTGGTCCTCCAATTGGTGGACCCCCGAGCCCCGGTCCTCCAAGCGGTGGACCAGCGAGCCCCGGCCCAAGCGAGGGTCTGCCGAGCCCCGGTCCTCCAACGGGTGGTCCCCTGAGCCTCGGTGGTCCAAGCAGTGGTCCTTTGATCCTTGGACCTCCAAACGGTGGACCCCCGAACCCCGTTCCACCAAAAGATGGTTCTTCGAGCCCCGGTCCTCCATACGGTGGTCTTCTAAGTCCCGGTCCTCCAAGCGGTGGTTTCTAAGCCCTGGTCCTCCAAACGGTTGACCTCTGATCCCCGGTCCTCCAACGGGTGGTCCTCCAACCCCCAGTCCTCCGAGCGCTGGTCCTCCAAGCGCAGCGCTCGCCGGCGCCCGCTCGCGTCGTCTCCCTCTCGGCCGCGCAGCAGGAGGCACAGCCCGCCGCCGTCTGTACTCCTCACCGAGCCGCGGAGCTCCGGGTAGGTCGAGCAGTCCCCCCCTCCCTCCTCCTCCTCCTCCTGCTGCTGCCGCTGCTGGTCCTCCTTGAGCCGCAGGTTGCCGGTCATGTCGCCCAGGCTCTGGCCTTCTCGGTCCGGCTCCTCGGCCGCCTGAGGGGTCGCGCTCTCCGGGCTCTTCATCAAACTCCCGCCGCGTGAGGCCTCCTTCTCCTCCGCCTCCTCCCGCGCACTCTCATCCCTCTCGAGGCAGCACAGAGTCTTCCAGAAGGGCCGCCGCCGCCTCAGTCGCCTCGGCCGTCTCCAACCGCCAACTGACGGCTCGCGCCCCGCCCTCCCGCCAACGGCTCGCGACTGGGCGTGTCCCATCACTCGGCCCCCGCCCACCGTACGTCCTGACCTCAGCGCGCAGTCCCGCCCCCCCGCCCGACGTCGACTGTCAATCAATCGAGCGAGCGCTTGGCTCCGCCCACACCCTGATGATAATAATCCACTGATCTGGTCAAAAAGAAGAAGAAAAAGTTGGGTTTTTATTTTATTTAATTTTTATTTCTCCTCCGGCGTCGTGGTGGTGGGTGGGGGGTGGGGTGGGGGGTGGGGGCGCGAGGCGGGGTACGCCAGCGCGAGGGCCACCCGGGGGTCCCCCCCCGGCGGGCGAGAGGGAGACCCCCAGGACACGGGTTGAGTCTTCGGGAGTTCCCCCCTTTCTCTGGAGGGGGAAACCTCTGTGTGACGTTGAAGCCAAAGTCAACCGAGAGAAGGAACTCTTTCTCTCGAGGCGGAGCGATCGGACGCTGTGAGTGAAGGGGCGGTGAGAGAGGGGGGGAAGGGGGAGGGGCGGAGAACCGCACCACCTTTGTGTGGCGAAACATTGTAGCGCTCCTCGTCACCGGGGCCTCGTCCCTCGTCTTTGTTCGGGGTTTTTAAATTGGCGTTTGGCGCCCGCGGACGCGCGCGAAACCCCGGCGGCGGGGCCGCGAGGCTGCCCACGGCTGCATTGCACCTCGTGCACCGAGCGGACTCTGCATCGGGGCCGCCTGTCCCGGTTTATTCGCCGGTTTCTTCTTTTTATTTTGGCGGCGGCGGCGGGGGAGGGGGCGGGGCCGGGCCCAGATGTGACGTCACCGATTACCGTGACGTCTGTGTCGACGACGCTGCGTTTAACCCTTTCCACCCCCCGAATACCGTGAGCAATTAAAGCTGTACACACACCCCCTCCTACACCCCCCACACACACACTGATCCCCCCCCACCCCCCACCAACACACTGATCCCCCCACACACACTGATCCCCCCACCCCCCACACCTACCCCCCACCACACTACCCCCCCCCCCCACACACACTGATCCCCCCACACACACACTGATCCCCCCCACACTGACCCCCACACACACCCACACACTGATACCCTCACACACACCCACTGATACACCCCCCCACACACACCCACCTACACTGATAACCCCCTCCCCACCACATTGATACACACCCCCCACACACACACTAATACACTCCTCCCACACTAATACACACCCCCCACACTGATACACCCCCTCCACACACACTGATACACCCCCCTCCCACCCACACCAATACACACTCGCACTCGCCTTGCAAGCAAGAGGAACCTTGGGCGAGTTTCCTTACCCCACCACACGCCTCTGTCGGAAGGAACCCGTTTGTTAAGTCGATTGGTTGGTGGATCGGAGAGCAGCGATTTGCAATGCGAGGAGAGAGCTCCAGCGGAGCAGCGCGAGCATCAGCACAGCCACGATGGGAAGAGAGAGAGAGAGAGAGAAAACAGGGAATGGGTTAGAGAGCTGTAAAATATCCCGCAGCTCATTTGTGGAGTCCTGTAGCTCAGTGGTTAGAGCACTCGCTTTGCAAGTGAGAGACCTGAGTGCAATTCCAGGCAGAGGGCGAAACCTCGGGCAAGTTTCCTTACTCCACACAGAGCCTAATAATAATCCTCCAAAACCAAAAACAATAATAAATTGGTCATTTTCAATCTACGACTGTTTGTGGGACATTGCTGTGCGCAATTGGCTGCGCGTTCGCCCACAAATATACAGTCAATTCACTTTACAGTGTGTTCTGTGAAGCGCTTTGGGTCGTCCTCCCGACGTGAAAAGCGCTATATCAAATGCAAGGATTATTATTATTATTATATATACATAGCGCCCTTCACGGTGCTATATAAATGATGGCGTCTCGGAGCACTTAACCAGGTGTATGTAGTTCATTAATTAATCATAAATAATTATATGATGTCGATTGGAATGAATTCGGAATTATCATTAACCGGTGCTGAATTATGGTCGTGGGACCAATAATGCGGAGGGGGGGGGGGGTTGGGTGGTGGTGGTGGGCGGGACATCGCCGCTTTAAGCCGCCGCTCGGGTCGCCATGGTGACGGGAAGCGAGCGGCGGGACACGTCCTCCCGGAGCCTGAGGCGCTGCCGGGGCCGAGGGAGGGGGGGAGCCGAGCCGAGCGGCGGGGTCGGTGGCAGCGGCTAGGCCGCGGCCTGCTGCAGCGAGAGCGGCTCGTGAGGCGGCCACGGAGCGGGAGAGAGAGAGAGAGAGAGGAGCGAAGAGACTCGGACTCGGTAAAAAAGCCGTCGGCCCTCAGGGCGGGAAGGACGGCGGAGTGTTGAGGCCGTTACTCGAGGCCCGGGGCCTGGGAGCAGCACAGGGAGCCTCCTCTCCCCCTCCCACCCGAGTCGCTTGACGGAAATAGCCGAGTCCTCTCCGGAAATCACCGAGCGCCTGAGACGTCCGACACAGCCGCTGAGCCGCCGAGCGGCGGGTTCGGAGCCGACGCCCTCTTCGCAAGAACGGCCGAGAGTCCCGCTTCGGGAAAACGGCTCAGGACGCCGAGCCCTCGCCGGAAACAGCCGAGCCCTCGCCGGAAACAGCCGAGCCCTCGCCGGAAACAGCCGAGCCCTCGCCGGAAACAGCCGAGCCCTCGCCGGAAACAGCCGAGCCCTCGCCGGAAACAGCCCAGGTCGCCGAGTGCTCTCTCCCCGAGCGTCCGACTGAAGCCTCCGAGTCCTCTGCCGGAGATTGCCGAAGCCGGCGGGAGTGGGGGGGGGGGTTGAGGAAGGCCTCGCTCTCTCCGGAAAGCCCCGAGCGCCTGACGGAAACTGCCGAGCGCCGTCGGCGGGCGGGAGCCGCCACAGACACCGAGGGGAAAGGGGGGGAAGGCGGAGCGTTAGCGCGCGGGAGGGAGGCGACCAGGACCACCAGGGGCCTCGCGGCCTGAGCCTCAGCCTCGGGGGCCCAGCCCCCCAAAAAGAAAGTCTTTAGTTGGGATTCGAAAGTGAGAGGGGAGGGGACAAGCCAAAGGGATTGAGGGAGAGAGTGACAGAGTTTCGGGTCATCGTGACTGAAAGCAAAGCACTTCCACAACACTCCTTGCCGCAACATGCCATCTGTCACCCAAACGTAGGAACATAGGAATTGCTAAAAACGAAAAAAGACCAAGATCCATCTAGTTCGGCTTCCGCCATCCTGGTAGCCACATGCTACAATAATGGAGATGTTGACAGCAATTAAATCTGTGTGGATTAGTCTTCCAACGCGGTGGAAAGTTTTGGGAACCTTATATCCAAAGTTGCCTGGTTCTTCCAAGCATTCTAAACTTTCTACGCACACACACACACACATGACCTGGGTCAGGTCTCAAATCACATCGGTGAGACGTCTCAAAGCGCGTCACGGAACAAACTGTAAAGTGGAGTGTCTGTGTACTTTTGTGCACAGCAGTGTCCCACAAACAGTTGTGGATTGAATGACCAGATTTCTTTTTGAAGGGATTATTACCGCCCGGAAAGCGATCCGCTAATCGACTAACAACTGAGCTCCTAGGTAAACAGATGCGTGTGGGGTAAGTAAGTAAACTTGCTCAATGTTTCGCTCTGCCGGGAAACAAACTCAGGTCCTCTCTCTTGAGAAGCGAGTGCTCTAAACACTAAGATATTTGTTATTAGGAGGGAGATGCAAAGAAAGACAAAAGACAGTGACCAAAAGATCCACCACTGGAATGCCCCAGACCATCCCAAAGATGATTGACTGGCATGGAACATTTGTTATTGGCTGGTAAAGTTCTGTGGCTCAATGGAGGAAATTACACTAGCCATAGGATTCATTAAGTTTGGCTCAACAGTGACACTCTTGCCTCTGGTTCAGACAGGCAACTGATTTTAATGCTTGCATTGCATTTCATACAACACATTATCATGTCATTGAAATGCCTCAAAGCGCTTCACAGAAATTACTGAAAAAGTTGAGTGACTATTTTGTGGACAAAACGTGCCAGCCAATTTACCTACAGCAGTGACCCATAAACAGTCATGGAGTGAGTGACCAATTTTATTTGGGGGAATTGATGGCCAGAACACTGGGAGCAAGAGAGAGAGAGAGAGAGAGAAAAAGAGAAACTCCCTTCTCTTTTCGAACACTGCCTTTAAAGTTCACCTGAACAGGCAGACAAGACCTCGGGTTAACATCTCATCCGAAGGACGGCACCTCCAACAATGCAACACCTCTCCAGCACTGGATTGGAGTGTCAGCTTGAACTATTTTAGCCAGTTGAACTCCAGAAATAGCTGTTTTGACCAGTCATGGAAGCCCAAACTCCCCCACCCCCATCAGCCCTGACCAACACTTTATCTGTGTCTGTCCTGCGCTCTATGCCAACTCATCAGATCAGAAGATTTTTGATTCCAATGGGAAATGGGAAATCTGATTAGCTGACAGATTCTTTGGCCTATAGGTCTCACAGGCCCACAGAAGGGCTGTGCCACCATCATTAAATTGCCACTAAGCAACTTAAACAATTTAATTGTGAGCTGCCTATGACATAAGCCAACACTGGGACAATTGACTGAGATCCTCAGTTACATTACATTATAAGGTTCCCACGTAATGAGTATTCCAAAGCTGGGGGAGGGGGAAGATAATCGGAGGCCCTGTCAAAGAGGAAGGTCTTGAGAATTGCATGAATCCCACCTACATGCTGAAATACAGCAGAATGTTACAGTAGAATGTGCCCTATCTTTTCCCTTGAGGGATGCCCCCTCCTTACCTAATTCTTAGGCGCAGGATGGAAAGAGCAAAGGCTTGGGGGAGCCCAGAGTGTGCGTTGGGGTAACTGCTGGAGTCTAACCAGCTAAAATCACGCACAGTTTGCCACTGATATTGCTGTCTGGCAAGCTTTCACGCTATTTGTCCAGCAAGGACCACCCTACCAGTTAGTTAGGGCTTTGGCTTGCAGTGAGAATAGTATAGCACTTCGGAAAGATGTCCCAAGGTACTACGTATTGCAGCCAAAATACGCACGTCGGGACAAGAAGCGGGGAAATATGTGGATGAGCAGGATATGGTGAGCTTGTTGACATGGCGGGAGATCTAAGAAGAGCAGCGTGTAAGGGTTTGAATATCTGGTGTGCTGGCTCAGTCCGGGCTTGTCCAGACTGACAGATTGGTCACTAATTATTGACTTAAGTTACAAAAGATAACTCAACAGTGAATTTCTGCTAACTCAACCGTGCCTCAACATGTCATTCCCACTTAAGTCATCGTGGTGCCAATATTAAGGGCAGCATTTATTTGCACACACGCCTAATTCGCTGCTACTGATAACTCAACACTGAACACTTTCCCCTTGGAGCGAGACATACATCATCGAGATTCCTGAGCAGCTCACTTGTTGTCAGTGGGGGAGATGCAATCCACAATATACAGTTGGCATCCAGTTTAGCTGGTTAAGCGCCCGCACGCTCTCACTTTCCTTCCTCCCCCTCACCCCGGAGGGATACACCCCGACTAAATTTACTTCCAGTGGGTAGTAGGCACAGGACCCCAGAGTGTATGCTAGAGTTGAACCAGCTCTTACATTTAAAAAAATAATGAGACAATGGTGCCCAAGCGACAGTTAAGAGAGAATCTTAACACCCGGAGCCAGTGGCAAACTCACCCCCGAGGCATCCTCCAGGCTCAGGTGCTGCGGCTGGTGGGACTCGGCGTCGCTGCAGGGGCTGAAATCGTCCTCAGACTCGTCGAAGGATGAGGAGAGACCGGCCGAGGAGGAGACGGACGAGGAGTTGGAGAGCTTGCGGAGCAGCAGCGAGGATGCTGGGGAGCCGCCGAAGCCGCTGTCGGACGATGGTGATTCCTCCTCCTGCGGCTGCTCGCTGGGCAGGCCTCGCGGTCCGAGAAGCGACTCATCCTGAGTCACTATCAGCTGAGGGATGGGGGGCATGTGGTGCCTCAGTGTGATCACCGCCGTGCACCGCTTCGGCCGCTGGTCCTCCAAGCGGTGGTCCCCCAAACTCCGGGCCTCCAAGTGAGGGTCCGCCGAGCCCCGCTCCCCAAAGCCCCGATCTTCCAACGGGTCATTCTTTGATCCCTGGTCCTCCAATTGGTGGACCCCCGAGCCCCGGTCCTCCAAGCGGTGGACCAGCGAGCCCCGGCCCAAGCGAGGGTCTGCCGAGCTCCGGTCCTCCAACGGGTGGTCCCCTGAGCCCCGGTGGTCCAAGCAGTGGTCCTTTGATCCTTGGACCTCCAAACGGTGGACCCCCGAACCCCGTTCCACCAAAAGATGGTTCTTCGAGCCCCGGTCCTCCATACGGTGGTCTTCTAAGTCCCGGTCCTCCAAGCGGTGGTTTCTAAGCCCTGGTCCTCCAAACGGTTGACCTCTGATCCCCGCACGTCCTCCAACGGTGGTCCTCCAACCCCCAGTCCTCCGAGCGCTGGTCCTCCAAGCGCAGCGCTCGCCGGCGCCCGCTCGCGTCGTCTCCCTCTCGGCCGCGCAGCAGGAGGCACAGCCCGCCGCCGTCTGTACTCCTCACCGAGCCGCGGAGCTCCGGGTAGGTCGAGCAGTCCCCCCCTCCCTCCTCCTCCTCCTCCTGCTGCTGCCGCTGCTGGTCCTCCTTGAGCCGCAGGTTGCCGGTCATGTCGCCCAGGCTCTGGCCTTCTCGGTCCGGCTCCTCGGCCGCCTGAGGGGTCGCGCTCTCCGGGCTCTTCATCAAACTCCCGCCGCGTGAGGCCTCCTTCTCCTCCGCCTCCTCCCGCGCACTCTCATCCCTCTCGAGGCAGCACAGAGTCTTCCAGAAGGGCCGCCGCCGCCTCAGTCGCCTCGGCCGTCTCCAACCGCCAACTGACGGCTCGCGCCCCGCCCTCCCGCCAACGGCTCGCGACTGGGCGTGTCCCATCACTCGGCCCCCGCCCACCGTCGTCCTGACCTCAGCGCGCAGTCCCGCCCCCCCGCCCGACGTCGACTGTCAATCAATCGAGCGAGCGCTTGGCTCCGCCCACACCCTGATGATAATAATCCACTGATCTGGTC